TCTAGATGTGAATAAGAGACAGAATAAAGTAAGGGCCGGATTTCAACCCTGTTTTTATGAAAAATTTTATTTTTATCAGTATTTTTCTTTTAATCAAAATATGTTGAAATAAAAGTGAAACTAAAAAAAATTTGCCAGAATCGCTAATTTTTCACAACTTTTGCNGATGTTGGTAAAGAAGGAACTATAAAAAACGAACCGAAATTAAATAACAACAAACATAGTGGGAAATATTTAGTAGCGCTCACATCGTTTTTGGGGTGTGGGGCAAAGGGGGAGGGGGAGGGGGACGGTCCCCGCTTTCTAAAAAGGCGTAACACCCTCAGGCAGTAGAATTCTCCTTTCTGTTTTGCGAAGAAAAGGAGCTGAACACCTTTTGCAGAGAACACCTTTATATATTTTTAATGCTTACTGGGTTATATCCTATCTTCTTTTGTCTCTCATTCTTTTGCATATTTTGGAGTTTGACAGCTGAACTCCGCCATTTAATTTGCATATGCAACCAAAGTCAGACGCCTGATTTTGAAGGTGTTTTTATTTAATGAATTGTGATTAATTGGTTAATATTAAAGTCGTAAAGCAAGTTATAACTAATCGAGTAAAGTGTAAGGTGAAGGGGAATACAAAAATGTATTGGTGAAGTGGCTGCTTTAAGGAGAATAGGAGTGATAAATGTACGCTAATTTCCGAATTTGACAAAGAAGGGCATATTTCAAACCCAATTTGTAAATAAATTAGTGACCAAAATTTACAAAAGTGAGTGCTAAAATAATGCGTAGACCCTTGACTACAACTGTATGGAATTTTTTTTGGATCGGGGGACCCCTTTGGACGGAATAGCCCGAAATAGTTGTGAGCGCTACTAAACCCCACCCAAAATAATATTTTAAAACTTGTCAAAATTTGGTGCGGCTACAATTTTTTCGACTACTGTACATAAGTTGGCTATGATTACTCGGCCGTGTTATCATAGTAGCACAATGCCACTCATATGTGACTTACAAATAAAATAAGGGCCGGATTTCAACCCTGTTTTTATGAAAAATGTTATTTTTATCAGTATTTTTCTTTTAATCAAAATAAGTTGAAATAAAAGTGAAACTAAAAAAAATTTGCCAGAATCGCTAATTTTTCACAAGTTTTGCTAATTTCTGGGTAATGGAAGACATACAAAATGCATTCAACAGATTTTCACCTGACAGTTTGAAATTTATGCGAAGTTATGCGATGTATGCGTAATCAGACCATAACGGTAGAAAATAATTTTTGGGCATTCATTCTATTTTTCAANAGATTTTCACCTGACAGTTTGAAATTTATGCGAAGTTATGCGATGTATGCGTANAAAAAACAATACAGCGACGTTCTATTGAGAAATTTCAATAAATTAATTTTCGTGATTGGGATAGTGAAAAATATTTTGGGTGTTCAAACAATTGGGATACGATTTACACCAAATTTTGGCAAATATCCAATCTTGGGACACTGCCTTTAAACTTGTATTTATACGGATGTTGGTAAAGAAGGAACTATAAAAAACGAACCGAAATTAAATAACAACAAACATAGTGGGAAATATTTAGTAGCGCTCACATCGTTTTTGGGGTGTGGGGCAAAGGGGGAGGGGGACAGTCCCCGCTTTCTAAAAAGGCGTAACACCCTCTGGCAGTAGAATTCTCCTTTCTGTTTTGCGAAGAAAAGGAGCTGAACACCTTTTGCAGAGAACACCTTTGTATATTTTTAATGCTTACTGGGTTATATCCTATCTTCTTTTGTCTCTCATTCTTTTGCATATTTTGGAGTTTGACAGCTGAACTCCGCCATTTAATTTGCANAGTTATAACTAATCGAGTAAAGTGTAAGGTGAAGGGGAATACAAAAATGAATTGGTGAAGTGGCTGCTTTAAGGAGAATAGGAGTGATAAATGTACGCTAATTTTCGAATTTGACAAAAAAGGGCATATTTCAAACCCAATTTGTAAATAAATTAGTGACCAAAATTAACAAAAGTGAGTGCTAAAATAATGCGTAGACCTTTGACTATNCTACAACTGTATGGAATTTTTTTTGGATCGGGGGACCCCTTTGGACGGAATAGCCCGAAATAGTTGTGAGCGCTACTAAACCCCACCCAAAATAATATTTTAAAACTTGTCAAAATTTGGTGCGGCTACAATTTTTTCGACTACTGTACATAAGTTGGCTATGATTACTCGGCCGTGTTATCATAGTAGCACAATGCCACTCATATGTGACTTACAAATAAAATAAGGGCCGGATTTCAACCCTGTTTTTATGAAAAATGTTATTTTTATCAGTATTTTTCTTTTAATCAAAATAAGTTGAAATAAAAGTGAAACTAAAAAAAATTTGCCAGAATCGCTAATTTTTCACAAGTTTTGCTAATTTCTGGGTAATGGAAGACATACAAAATGCATTCAACAGATTTTCACCTGACAGTTTGAAATTTATGCGAAGTTATGCGATGTATGCGTAATCAGACCATAACGGTAGAAAATAATTTTTGGGCATTCATTCTATTTTTCAATGAAGCATTCTACTTTGCATTCCCCGTAATGAATCAAAGCAGCGAAATTAAAAAAAATATTGTACAACATTTTGTTATTCATTACCGGCAATGCCTAAAATAAGCGAAAAAATTAGAAGACATTATAAGGCAATGCGTCCTAGAACGCGTTACCACTAAGAGCGAGTACCGATTCTGGGCTGGGCTGTGTCATTCCACTCAACAAATAAACGCACCCATTGACTCTACTTTTGGTTGCACATTGTCCTTCTAAAAGTGATTGATGGCAAATTATGAATAAATTATAAATAACACAAGCTCAGGGTGGGGTAGGCAGTTATTGATGAAATGAACGTGAATATGTGCTGAAGTTGACATGCTCGTTGACAAAGCTGAACATATCAATAAAAGGTTATGCCAAAATACATAAGTACATATGTATGTATATATGTACTTATGTAATTGTCCTCTTACAAAGATTTTCGCTAATTAAAATATTGCTTGACATTTGACATGTAAAAGAAGTGTACAAGGAAGGAAGAATAAAAAACACATGCCCCCTCGAATACAAAATTGTCGAGGCTCTATTGCACCAAAATACTTGTTTGTTCTTTTTGGTAATTGAAGAATGCGCAAGAAATGCACAATTCTTTGCCTAAGTGGTCCTTTGCAAGAATTTTGACATGCAAAAAAGCGAGACTAGTCGGTAATTTTTAATAATTCTTTGTGCAGAGAATCAAAAAAATAAAAAATAATATGTATGCAATGAAAGAGATGATGAATACTCGAAACCGCGTAAGAAGTGATGATTAAATACATATATAGAAATACCTTAATCTTGTTGATAAAAAAAACATCTATGTATGTAAATGCTTATACTTGATGAAAATGCTTTTAAAGAATGGCAAAAATCTTTTACAAAAGGCTTTCTCCCGATTTATAAAATTACTGACTTGCAAATTGAAAATAACGCTTCTGTTCATTTATTTTATTTTANCAAAAGGCTTTCTCCCGATTTATAAAATTACTGACTTGCAAATTGAAAATGGCGCTTGTGTTCATTTATTTTATTTTNTCTTTTAATCAAAATAAGTTGAAATAAAAGTGAAACTAAAAAAAATTTGCCAGAATCGCTAATTTTTCACAAGTTTTGANTTTTTTTAATAAATATTAAAGCGGCCAAATTAACAATTTTTGATTATAAAAAGGTTTAGTCTTAAATCCACTTTAGATGTTATTCCTTTTCAGCATAGAATACATACATTTTCTTGTTATTTTTTCAAATACACTTACATAATTTCCACATATCCAGTTTTATTTCTGATTTTTCTGGAACACACATACGAACACAATTTCATACTTAGCTTGCTGGCTTATAGACACGCATTAGATAATAAATTTCTTAAACGATTCTAGCAAAGCTCTTATCAAAGCATATCATGTGATTTACAATAACGATTGTTAAAACATAATTTTTTGTCCGCTAGTCCTTCAGACGGTCTTGTATACACTGCATATTTGCAAGTTTAAAGTAAGTTTGTTTAAGTACATATATACATATGTATAGGAATAATTCATATTATGAGTGTACAATTGATTGTATGTACAATATGTATGTATGTATGTATGTATGTATGTATGTATGTATGTATGTATGTATATCTATATATGTTGCTTAAGTTGATATTTGTTTGTTAATGCATGTACATAAATATGTATGAATATATTCATTCTTTATAAACCTTTTCAGAAACAAGCTTTCTAGATTTTAATCAAATAAAATATTTTCGGAGAAAGCTTAAAAAGTGTATTTGCATATAGACGGTTGGGGTATTCACAGCGGTGTCGTAAGTGTCGTATTGTTGTATATCGTAAACTTTAAACGCCAAAAAAAAAATTATTAAGAGGGTTCAGAAAGGACCATCAAAGTCATATTATGAATTTTCGCAGTGTCAAAAAATAGTTGGCTGTGGTTTTAAGTTCTCTAAAGCCTTTTTTTAAGCTTTTAAGGTCCATACAACAATGCGACACTTAAGACACCGTTGTGAATCCCACAGATATTTGCACATATGTACATATATACATATATAAGTACGTATGCACGCCACGTCGCTATACATTTATTTAGAAATGTAAATACTTACATATGTATGTATGTATTTATGTATGTGTTTAGCTAAATATATATATGTGTATATTTATACATAATATAAATTGTTTTTAACGTATGAAGTGCCACATTGCTGTCGGCTTACGCGCATTATTGATCATGTCATGCCAATGCTGGCAGCCAGTACCGATTTCTTGTGGACCAAGGCCACAGCTGCCAATTTCTGTTGCTTCTCCACCTGAGCCAACAACGTAAATCTGTAAAAAGGAAATAAATTGTATTTTACTCGATCGTGGTTTTTGATAAACTTTCTCACGAAGACTTCAGTCAATCGAGAGTAAATAGAAACAATACATATAACTTTGAAGTTTTATTTAATACACATCGCTAGCTTAGAGTAAAAAGTTTCCGCGTCCACGTTTTAAGAAAACTCATATTTTTATATACGAAGCAAGAGAAATTAGAAATGCATAGTTTCGAAAAAGATTAAGGTAATTATTTTATTTTTTTTTTTGCGCGTTTATAGTCGATGAAAAGCACATTAATTAAGTCCAGAAGATGCACCGAAAATCCGATAAGGCGAAAATAATATGTACGAAGTATTTTAAAAAGATGGAATTAGGGTTGGCAGATTCTGAAACGGAGAAAAGAGTAAATTTCTATTTTCGATAGAAAAAAAAACAGTACAAACATAAAACAGGAATAAAATTTTTTGTGCAATTTATTGTTACAAATTACCAAAAAGTACAGCGTGGCTACGAATAACTGTTACCCAGGTTTTTTTGAGATATAAAAGGGTCCTTTATAGATTTAGCGAAAAAAAGTATTTTATTGTTAACTTTCCACAGATTTTAATATAGTTGTATTAATTAGTTTTTGAATTTCGATCCTTATTTACATTTTCCAGCAGTGGAAACGTCGGATAGGTCTCAGATTGGTTCTAACGTCACAACGTAGTTTTTGTGAAAATTGGATTGAATGAAAGCCCTCGTTTTGTTTCTTTGCTAGAGCTTCTAAAATATTGAAAAATACGCGATTTTTTGACACTTTGCGAAAAAGTATTTTATTGTTAATTTTCCACATATTTTACTTTAGTTCCAGCAATGTAAACTTTAAGAGAAAAGTTCATTTGGCACGCAGGTCTTCGTCAGTTAATTTATTACATATCTTCTATAACCATAGACTCCATTTTGAGTCCCTTATACTCCCCGTTTTGTCCAACATAAGGCCTCATACTCAAAAATCGAATAGACTCGGAACTGGTGACTAGGACGGCCATTCCTTCGACCAACCCTATACAGTATTTTAATATTTTTTTTTGTCTTTTTTTTATACAAAGCCTAATAAAAAATGCACCTGAAAAACGCTTGCGTGCCAAATGAACTTTTCTCTTAAAGTTTACATTGCTGGAAAATGTAAATAAGGATCAAAATTTAAAAACTAATTAATACAACTAAAGTAAAATC